TATGATAACTATTAGCAGTGTCTGTGTGTTCTTCTCCAAACAGTTTAAGGTGGATGTCAAGTGCACGCTGTTCAGAATCTAGTGCTGCGTTGAAGTTTCCAAGTGAATGTTGAGTGATGCCAAGGTTATGATAACTATTAGCAGTGGTTGCGTGTTCTTCTCCAAACAGTTTAAGGTGGATGTCAAGTGCATGCTGTTCAGAATCTAGTGCTGCGTTGAAGTTTCCAAGTGAATGTTGAGTAGCTCCAAGGTTATGATAACTATTAGCAGTGTCTGCGTGTCCTTCTCCAAACAGTTTAAGGTGGATGTCAAGTGCATGCTGTTTAGAATCTAGTGCTGCGTTGAAGTTTCCAAGTGAATGTTGAGTGGTTCCAAGGTTATGATAACTATTAGCAGTAGATACGTGATCTCTTCCAAACAGTTTAAGGCGGATGTCAAGTGCATGCTGTTTAGAATCTAGTGCTGCGTTGAAGTTTCCAAGTGAATGTTGAGTGATGCCAAGGTTATGATAACTATTAGCAGTGTCTGCGTGTTCTTCCCCAAACAGTTTAAGGCGGATGTCAAGTGCATGCTGTTTAAAATCTAGTGCTGCGTTGAAGTTTCCAAGGGAATGTTGAGTGATGCCAAGGTTATGATAACTGTTAGCAGTGTCCGCGTGTTCTTCTCCAAACAGTTTAAGGCGGATTTCAAGTGCATGCTGTTTAGAATCTAGTGCTGCGTTGAAGTTTCCAAGTGAATGTTGAGTGATGCCAAGGTTATGATAACTGTTAGCAGTGTCCGCGTGTTCTTCTCCAAACAGTTTAAGGCGGATGTCAAGTGCATGCTGTTTAGAATCTCGTGCTGCCTCGAAGTCTCCAGTTGAATGTTGGTTGTAACCAAGGACTTCGTAGCAAGCTGCAAGTGCTTCCTTGTGTACCTGGTAGAAGGGGTTTTTTTCGCTACACTGATCTAGAGCTTTTTGATGGAAACAAATTCTTTTTTGACACTGTAATGAGGTGTCTTCCATTTTAGCTAAAACAGACAGAAGAAGCCGATGAAATTTACAAACACCTGTGGAGATATGCTCCTCTCTTTCGATCTCGTTCAGCATCTCATGTAAAATGTTTTTGAAATATTTTCTAGTGTCGCCATCAGTAAAATTCTGCGTTGTCTGGCTTACAATGTACATCAGTGCCAGTTTTAAGGGGTGGTCAGAAACGGCGATAACACCTCTTTGATTTTCTTCTACATTGCTAAGTTTCCTTCGTTCCCCTTGTTTTAAAGATAACACCGGCAGTTGGTCTTTATCTCCCGCTGCATTGCAAAGTAATTCATTTAATTCCGTCGAGGTGTTTTGAAATCGGCAAAACATTACAAGAATTTGAAGAGTTATAAGCGTAAGATTTTTCTGATCTGGAATTCCACTCAACATCTCAAGAGCGTGTTGCAAATTCCGAATTCCATCTTCCGTATTACCGTTAACAAGGTGATTGATCCCTAAATAACACAGACGTTTTCCTTGAAGTTCTGACATAGAAAGTAGAGGCAGTGAAGCTTCAGCTTCCTTTGCTTTACAAAGCAGCTGCACGGTACTTCCCTTTGCACCCCAACATGCTTCTCCAAACGCCTTTGAAACAAGTAGTCGACTGTAAGATTCGGTTCTCTCAAACCTCTTCGCAGCCTCTATTGCCGAATCGTATATCAGGTAAAAGGTTGATCCTTCGTTAAAAAAAAGAGTATCAAGAAACAACTCTGCCTTAGCTAACACATCAAAAACGGTGCCAGCTGTCTTCGCATCCGCAAGCGTATTTAAAAGGCTTTGAATAATACTTTTGTCATCTTCATAGAATTTAAGAAACGCTGTCATTGAATGACCAGTCAGAAACTGCTCATTTAGCTTCTGAAAAAGGGATACGTAAAATGCGTTCAATCGATCCTTTGAGTTAAGGACCCTGTCTTTCATTTCATTTTCTCCTTTTTCTCTTGCAAATGATTGTAGCAGCTTGTGCATCGTAAATACCTCTTGTTTCTCATCTAAATCAAGAAGGGACTTCCTTCGAAGGCCATGCAAGAACTTCTTGGCCTGAAGATTGTTTTCGTCTAAAACAGCAGCAGCGACCTCCGTACCAAAATTCTCTGGAAGAATACTCAATGACACAAGAGCTTTTTTCTCCTGTGCAGTGAGCCTCTCAAAAGATAACTCAAAAAGAGACTGTAATCTGTACTCGTCTGGGTAATCGGGCCTGTCTAACATCTCGGCGATACTCGCTGTGGAGGCGAACTGCATGAATTCATCGAGATATTGGCTTGGTTGAGCCTCACCTTCAGAAATTGAGGAACACAATAACTTTATTGCGAGGGGTACAAATCCACAGATTTGCAGGATTCGTGAACAGTCTGAAGAACTTCCTGTTGGAACAAGGGCTTTCACTAACGTCTTTGCAGAGTCTTCATCCAGTGGTCTGATTCTTACACTCTCGTGACCTTGCAAATCCACACTCAGAAAACCTAGCGATTCTCTCGTTGTTAAAGCAAATATGGTCGCCTTACTGCGCCTGAGAATTTCTTTCAAAAGTCCTATGACCTCTTTCTTCACGCCTGGCTCACCATCTTCTAATAAATTATCAGCATTATCAAGAATAAAAATAGATCGATCGGAAATTTCCCTTAAAAGTAGGCAAAGCTGATCATCAAGGGATGGATACGAGAAGGATGGATGATCATTTCCGACTGATGGCTTAACAAAGCTTAGAAGCTTTGAAACGAGATCTGTTTTGGACTTCAGTTCGCGTAATGAAACCCAACAGACCGGCATTCCTTTAGACTGGAGATCGTGTCCCACTGCAATAGCAAGTGATGTTTTTCCGAATCCAGGTGAACCCCAGATGGACACAAGACGGGTAGATTCAGAAGTCACGTGACCTATAATCTCCTCACACTCCCTTTGACGTCCAGTAAAATTAGGAACCATTCCAGGAAGGGAAGGTATTGATAGCGATGGTCTCACGCCTGTAACAGTAAAAATCTGTTTTCGTATCTTTAATAGTGACATGAAAGCAAAAATAAATCGTAGTCCTTTACCAAACGCTTCTCGTATCACTAAGGCTGCATGCAAACGGACACAACAACTTCCAACATTGTTGCGCCAACAATCTTGGGAGTTGTTGCGTGCGTGTTGGCAGTGGTGTTCAAACGGATGCAACAACTCCCAACAATGTTGGGACCTGCAGTACATCGTGGGAAGGATACAACCCATAAGTCTTTGTAAACCATGCGTAATGAGCGTGCGTGGCCCCAGCAATGTTGGAAGAGCTGTGCAAACGGATCCAACATTGTTGCGCTTCGCTTCGGCGATCACGGAACAAAAGAAATGTTGGGAGTTGTTGGCTGAAAAGTTTGACCGGTTTCAAACTTTGCGCAACAACACGCAACAACATCCAACAACATGCAACAAGGTGTGCAAACGGACGCAACATGTAACAACCAACAATGTTGCGTCCGTTTGCACGGGGCTTAACTCACAACTCTTTCCTTTGTTTATGCCTAGCACGTGACATAGAAAGAAGTTAACATATACCTGTCTTCTTCACTTTGATCTTGCGCAACTTGCGATACGTGTGGTATGATAATTGAAGACGATTTTTCTAACACGCTATTGTATTTCGGTCGCTTTATAAACCATGAAAAAACTCACATTCCCCTGGTCGTCCATAAAGAGTGGTTAACCTACCTGTGGTCTTGGATTTGGCATCATTTTCATCTTGCAACTTGGCGATCTTCTGATCTAACATTGCGATATCTTCTTTGGTAACAATATTGTCAACTCTTTGCATAATCACATTTTGCATCGCCTTAATCTCAATGACATCTGAGGTCATTTCCTCAAGGAACTTGATGTATTCCCGACTCTCTTCTTGTATTCGCCTTTCCAGTTGTCTAACTTCGTTTGTGGGAAAGTCCGACTCCGTTAACCTTCCAAGCGCGTCAATTGGAGCTGTCTGCACACCAAGGGCTTGAAACGCAACTTTGGCGTAATTTACGCGCTGGTCAAACGGTGCTTTGTCCATCTCACTGCAGATAGAGTGACAGAGCGAATTTCTTAGACGACGAAGCTGATCAATCGCAAGTGCAAAGGTCTCCTCCATTATTCCACCTGGGCTGACCACACATGCGTGGAAACTACCATAAGGTACTGCACAGGGCTTCACGTACAAATCACTGAGAGTGGTGTAAGAGCCTGTACTGGCTACTGAGGCAAAAGACCGAGCAAATATAGTAGCCTGGAACAGGTTGGTACAATCCCATTTGTTGTAAGACTGGTGAACAGGAACCTTAGTCCTGCCACTCTCTGTAGTGGCAAACATTTTTCTTACAGCAGTTGAATCATCCCAAAGCTGGAAACCAGGGCGATGTCCATAGGTGTTGTCCCACATGGTTTTAAAGGTCCGCCGTAAGGCTTTGGGGAATTCATTCAACACTAGGGACGAGAACTTGAAGAAATTTAACTGTTTGTCACTAAACGGCTGCAATGCCATTGGGTGGTTATTAGCCAGGCAAGGTATGAGTTGTCCTGAGAAATGAATAAAGTTTCAAGGTTTTCAACAACCTCGATCAAGAGAACCTGGGAACGAGGTTGGGTTTTCAAGTTTGCTAGAACTCCAAAATATTAGCCGGTGTACAGACCCCCTCCCCTCGATTTTTCTTGAGGGGAGGGGGATCTGTACACAGGCTAAAACATATTGGTTGAAGATTGTCCTTTTGCGTGGTCTTTAATTAATTAAGTGAGGAAATTTCACGCCGGAGATGGTCGATTATGCGGATTTAGGGTCGGACGTCGTAGTTCAGAACACAAAAGAATGTAAGAAACAAGAGCTCTTTCATCTTCTAAAATGTTCAACAATGATTGACAAAAGTTTGATATGCTAACGACAGTATAAGGAGTGTCTGTAATATCTAAAGGTTCCTAAAATTATGATGATGTGAAATCCCCTTTGCTTTGAATCAAGGAGGCGTAAATAATTCTGAATCTGAAATTGTATCTATCGTCTTCCTTACGTTTTCCTTGATTTGTGAATTTATCATTTGTTCTTGGCTGAAAGACTTAGCCGTTTATTCCTGGCACTTAAATGCAGTGCTTTTGACGTGCACTTACTTTGGTTGCCAGGGGTGTGTGCGGGCTACCTGTTCCTACACACGAATCTTGAAATGCATAGGGAGGTTCAATTCAAAAACTGACAACTTTTGATTACCTTCTCTTAAATATCCTGATTAAAATTGAACGTTGGAAGCACAACACAGGGAAGAGCGGCTTTTAAATCGCCGAAGGACTCTAAAATAAATCGTATGCAAAACAACTTTGTGCTTCAATTCTGTTATAAGCAAGACGTGAGAAGAGAAATTGAGACAAATAAAGATATCTTCCCACCTTCAGTACCATCTTCGCGCGCATCTCGCTAGCGCTTGTAGTTGATAATAACCCCTACAATTGTGCATTTTCTGAAAGCTTGAAAGTTCCAGATTACCGCTGATTTTTTAAAAATCCGAAATGCTAACGCGTTTCAGAAATGGCGAGCAAAAAGGATCCGTATTTTGTGTAACAACGAAGTATCCTTGTGTTCAATGCTACTTGAAAATACTGATTAGGCTGACAATCATGCCCGGGTTTCCCGGTACTAGGACAAAAAGCTACGAAACACGGGAGACCGTAGGCTATCTCTTGCGGTTTTGAAACAGTTGGATCAGAGCAGTCATTTTTTAGTCTTGATGTGGCAGACAAAAACAAACTCGTCAAACAAAGTCTTTTCCCATTTTTTGGGGGTATTCTCAACCATTTCCAAAAAAACGACCCCTGTGCAGACCCGATTTCTTGTAGATAGCAATGAATTGCGTGATTATCATTTGACTGCTACGAGTGAAATCAGGATGGTGAAATGTGTGGCAGAACTTGTCAAGAATTAATTATTTAAAATAATAAGCATCGAGGAATCTTTTGCGCTCCACAGTCTCTTCAGAAATAACAGTTTTTTTCTGGAATTTTTTTTGAATGAAGTTCTCAACGAGCTCTCAGCTAATGATCTACACTTTGCAAATTTAAAAAAATTATGAATTTGTACCATGGATGATAAGTGGGGAGTTGAATTTCCGTAACTGTAAGTACTCATGGAAACGGTGAAACTGTGTGCCTGAGCCAAATGGTGACCGGGTTGGAGTTTTATTTAATAAATCCGAGATGTGAATGTGGATCTTTAAAGAGATTACTGACGCGATGTTTTTTCTTGCTTGTGGCAATCTTCCCGTCAAAACTGATTGCGTCTTTCTACGCAGATACGTTCTGTCATTGGTCGCCATTATTCCGACAGCATTTTTTAAAGGTTTCTAGCTTACACATTGGTATCTTTTTAACCTGTTACCCTTTGTAGCCGCGTTAGAATTAGCGTGCGATCACGCTCAGTTTTCTTTTTGAGAAGAGGAGGAAGGTACTGATCACCGGCTACGTTTAAACACGTACCGAATTTCTGTTTGGGTGGCTATTAAATGAAGCCGCAGAATCTTAAACCCAACTGATATAATCCATAAATTCAAACTTCACCTTCTCTTCAAGATCCAGGTAAAACCTGCACCTTCCACACAAAATGAGAACACAGGGCTTCCAATTGGCAATGGTGTCTAGAATAGACAAACCGAGTTCTCAGTGTGTCCCAAGAGTCAGACGCCGTAGATAAATGTTTTATGACTTTACATTGTACGGTAAATGATGCAAATCAAGGTTGGGAGCCTCTTTTGTCTAAATCGTAAAATTTCAAGCCTAGCTGTTTTGATGAGGTGAATATATAAGAATTTCTCATATGTTGCTTGTTTAAGATTGTACAATAATCTCCAAGACTGTCTCATAAAAAGCACTAAAGAAAACAAACCAAAAAAAGGTAATACAGAAACTTATAGTTAAAAAAATAATACCGTTTATTGTTTATGACTTCACTTTACTGAAAACCTGTTGTATATCAGTAGGAGCGACCTTCCAAAATTGACGCTTTAAATCGATACCTACTAATAAAATAAATGCCAAAAGTAGTGACGCCTTCAAAATTAATCAATGGGAAAAGTGAGGATAAAATCTTTAGAGGTCCACATTCACAACCCGGTCACCTTGTTTGGTCTGAAAATTAGGGCCCATCAAGCTAGGAATACCCGCTTTTTGTCTATATGTCTATATATATTATAGGAAATGGGGAAGCACACCCCGGTTTTGCTTTGTTTCAAACAGTCCCTTTTTTCGAGCTAGAGTGCACCACCCGGGGTTGGCTAATTTCAGGAGATTGATTAAATTTCGCTCGGTACCATCTTGACATCTTTTTCAATAAATCATGATAAATCGATTTGGGGCAGGACCCGGGAAATCAGTAATAATCAGACACCAAATAAAATTGAGCAAAATCAAACAAAACTTTCAATCGAACTCAATTGAACTTTTTCGAACGGAAGAGTTCAATGCAGTCGGCCATCGAACGAAAGCGAACACAGAACTTTTTTCATGTGTGTGTGTGTTTTTGTGAGTTCGATGTCCGAAATGATATCGACTACAAAATCGAACGGTCATGGTTCAAGATGATTTAGGCTTCCAGAATTGAAGAGTTAATATTTTTCCTTGGTACGCTTTTCGCAGGGAATAATCAGTACTTAGAGTTAACTCAGAATATGGAAATACAGTAATGAAAGGAACCAAAACTTCAAATAGCCTTAGCTGTTTCAAAGCTGGATCAATTGAACGATTTTGTTCCATTCGTGTTTTTTTGTAAAGAGTTCCACTTCCGAGCGTTCAATGACCGAACTCACTCGAACTCATTCGAATATAAAGCATTCTATTTTTTTCAATTCGAATATTTTTTTGTTTGTTCGATTTGGTTCAATGGCTGCGTGAACCGTATCGACCTCATGTCTTTCGTTCGAGAGAGCTGGAAAACCGAACGTTCGATGTGATACGCCTGGGTAATGGATTATAGAACATGCCACTAGGTTCCTAATAAATTTCAAGATCGACCATCTTGCAACTGTTGTGCACTAGAGTTCTTCAATACCCTTCACTACTTCCTAGACGAATCGAACTTTTTCAAACTTAAGTCAGTCTACGCAATCCAATTTTATAATTTTTAATTCAGCTTTTTTAATATGTCTTATATATGTTTGAATTCGATCCACGGATAAGACATTATTTTTAGAGACAGTTCCTGAGTTGCTTTAGTTGGATGCAAGTCTCTGAAGTCTTCGTTCTCGTGTAAAATGCAATTATATTGCTGAGTGCGGGTAGCTTGCATGGATACTTATACTTAAAACTGAAAAAAAACCTACCTTCACGAAATTTATGGAGGCAAGTTGAAACCTTCTTGAGCTGATCAATTCCACGGTCTCTAGATCGTCTTTATTTTCGAGAATAGGATGAAAAGCCTCAAGGAATAGCGTTTTGTTCCATGACAGTCCGTGGTAACAGGGGTTTGTCCCTCAGGAAGTTAATTATTACACAGCTACTTTCAATATGTAGATTAGTCACGAGTTCCTTTAAAAAACAAAAACAGACATTACACTAACATTGTTGGTCCATCATTGCTCACACTGGGCTACATGACACACCCCCAATCCCCACAGCGAAATCAAGAATAAAGCCTGCAATAAGGCCAAAATGCGCCATTTTCCCATTCTTGATTTTTTTGGGGGGGTTGGGATGATTGCAGCCTTGGAAAGAACAGAGTGGAACAGCAACCCCCCTATCCCCATCCCCCCGAAAACAAGGATAAGGCACGTGAAAGCCAAAACGTGCCATTTATTTGGAGGAGATGGGGGTGGGGGGTGGGGGAATTAATGTTTCTGTCTATTTTTATCACAGCCTAAAAATTCTCGCGCTTTGCGCTCGAATTTTTAACCAGTGATAAATCACTGCTGTTCGTGTTTTAAACACATTACATAATTGCTCATACGTTGCTTGTTTAAGAAAGAGCCATAATATCTGAAATATGTCTCATAGAGGAGCACTAGAGAAAACAAACCAAAAACCGAGGCAATACAGAAACTTAATAAACACCGTTTATTGTTTGTGACTTCGGTGACGTAAACCTAAGTTTGAATTTTGCTAAGGAAAGGTAATTTAAGACGGACCACTTTACTGAAAACATGTTGTATACGAATAAGAGCGACCCTCCAAAATTGACGCTTTAAATCGATACCTACTAAAATAAATACCAAAAGTAGCGACACCTGCAAAATTAATCAGTCTCCCGAAATCAGCCAACCCAGTGGGTGCAACTCTAGCTTGAAAGTAGTGTATCTCGCTTTAAGCACACCCCGGTTTTGTTTTGTTCTCCAATCCCTATTGGCCAAAATTTTCGCCTGTGCTTCTTCAGAGCCACAAGATATATATCCTGACACAAATGAAAATATATTGAAGGAAAAGTACTGGTTCATAGTTTAGACAAACTCAGTTATGACAAGAAGCCACCCACGATAGCCTTTCAACGCGGGTAACGAGGCTAGGGTTGGGGGAATTGCCGCGGTACTTTCAAAAATTGTCGTCAGTTGGATATATCTACGTCACTTTTTCTTCCCAACATTTCCGCTTGAGAAGCTGTTACGTGCCTAAATTTCTAAGCTCGAGTTGTTAAAAACTTTTTCTAGGGCTGTGTGTTTTCTTCTCCAAGTTTAAACCTAATGTGACTTGAAGGCACATAAGATTCTAGGGCCGATTAAATATATCGCCCAAAGAATCTTGAATGACGCCAAGACCATAATAACTGTCAGCAGTGCTTGCATGTTCTTCTCCAAATAGTTTAAGGCGGATGTTAAGTGCACGCTGCTGAGAAGCTAACGCTGATTTACAGTCGCCAAGAGAATGTTGAGTGACGCCAATGCTATAATAACTGAGAGCTGAGCTTGCATGTTCTTCTCCGAACAGTTTGAGGCGGATGTTAAGAGCGCGTTGATTAGAATCTAATGCTGATTTAAAGTCGTTGATAACTATCGCCAGTGCTTTCGTGTTCTTCTCCAAGCAGTTTAAGGCGGATGTCAAGTGCGCGTTGATGGGAATATAACGCTGATTTTAAGTCGCCAATGGAAAGTTGAGTGACTCCGATTCCATAATAGCTAACAGCAGTGCTTGCATGTTCTTCTCCAAACAGTTTAATGTGCGTGTTAAGTGCGCGTTGATTAGAATCTAGTGCTGATTTATAGTCACCAAGAGAATGTTGAGTGACGGTGAGGCTATCGTAACTATCAGCACTTCCCTAACTGTAAGTACTCATGGAAAAGATAAAACTGTGTGCCTGAGTAAATGGTGAACGGGTTTGAGTTTTATTTAATAAATCCGATATGTGAATGTGGACTTAAATAGAGATTACTGACACGATGGTCTTTCTTTCTTGTTGTAATCTTTTTGTCAAATTGTCAAAACTGATTGCGTCTTTCTTCACAGATACGTACTATTAATTATTCGCTTTTTAGCTTAAAGATTGGTCTCTCTTTGAACCTGGTACTCTTTGCAGCACCGTTAAAATTAACCTGCGATCACGCTTTCTTCTTTTTGAGAAGAGGGGGAGGGTTCGATCACTGAAACACTCACTGAATTTCTGTTTGAATGGGCATTAAATGAAGCCTTAGAATGTTTGACCTAAATCATAAAATTGATAAAATTAAACTTCACCTTCTCTTCAAGATCCAAGTGAAAACTGCACGTTCAACCCGCAAAATGAGAACACAGGGCCGAGTTCCAATTGGCAATTGTGTTAAACAACCGAACTTATGTGTTAAAATCAGACGCCGCCGATAAATTCTTTATGAATTTACATTGACGGTAAATGATGCAAATTAAGGCTGGGCGGTTGCTATGGAAGCGGCGATGTCAACGAAACATACTCTAAAATTGAGTTCAGTGTCACACTCCATTGTTTCACTTCGTGACTTTTCCGTGCATCCACTACAGCCAAAGTTATGAAGCATCAAACACGAAGGGGTGAGCCCTTTAAAAAGGAGGTGCGAGCCTCCTGCATAAACATTTCTGCCCAACATTTGCTATTTTTGCTTCTTTTGTTTAACTTTTTGCAATCAACACGTATTTAAAAGAAACATGCATTATTTAGAAATTCACTCCGGGGACGTTTTGGAGCTGTTCACAGCACTTACTGCACGTGATTTATCACAGCCTAAAAATTTTCGCGCTTCTCGCTCGAATTTTTAACCAGTGATAAATCGCTGCTGTTCGTGTTTTAAACATTACAGAATTGCTCATACGTTGCTTGTTTAAGATAATACAATAATCTGATAAATGTCTCATAAAGGAGCACTAGAGAAAACAAACCAAAAAACGAGGCAATACGGAAAGTTGTTAAAAAATAAATACCGTTTATTGTTTGTGACTTCAGTGACGTAAACCTAAGCTTGAATTTTCCTAAGGAAAGGAAATCAAGACTACTTTACTGAAAACATGTTGTATACGAATAAGAGCGACCTTCCAAAATTGACGCTTTAAATCGATACCTACTAAAATAAATTGAATGCCAAAAGTGGCGACACCTGGTAATTTATCAATCTCCCTAAACTACCCAACCCAGTGGGTGCACTCTTGCTTAAAAGTTGTGTTCCTCGCTTTTGGCCTAGATAAGGGCCCATCAAGCGAAGAAGGCCCGCTACATATGGAAAATAGAAAATTGGAAAGCACACCCCGGTTTTGTTTTGTTCTCCAATCCCTATTGGCCAAAATTTTCGCCTGTGCTTCTTTCGAGCCACAAGATATATATCCTTACACAAATGAAAATATATTGAAGGAAAAGTACTGGTTCATAGTTTTGACAAACTCAGTTATAACAAGAAGCCACCCACGATAGCCTTTCAACGCGGGTAACGAGGCTAGGGTTGGGGGAATTGCCGCGGTACTTTCAAAAATTGTTCTCAGTTGGATATATCTACCTCACTTTTTCTTCCCAACATTTCCGCTTGAGAAGCTGTTACGTGACAAAATTTCTAAGCTCGAGTTGTTTAAAACTTTTTCTGGGGCTGTGTGTTTTCTTCTCCAAGTTTAAACCTAATGTGACGTGAACGCAGATAAGATTCTATGGCCGATTTAATATCGCCCAAAGAATCTTGAATGACGCCAAGACCATAATAACTGTCAGCAGTGCTTGCATTTTCTTCTCCAAATAGTTTAAGGCGGATGTTAAGTGCACGCTGCTGAGAAGCTAACGCTGATTTATAGTCGCCAAGAGAATGTTGAGTGACGCCAATGCTATAATAACTGAGAGCTGAGCTTGCATGTTCTTCTCCGAACAGTTTGAGGCGGATGTTAAGAGCGCGTTGATTAGAATCTAATGCTGATTTAAAGTCGTTGATAACTATCGCCAGTGCTTTCGTGTTCTTCTCCAAGCAGTTTAAGGCGGATGTCAAGTGCGCGTTGATGGGAATATAACGCTGATTTTAAGTCGCCAATGGAAAGTTGAGTGACTCCGATTCCATAATAACTAACAGCAGTGCTTGCATGTTCTTCTCCAAACAGTTTAAGGCGCGTGTTAAGTGCGCGTTGATTAGATTCTAGTGCTGATTTATAGTCACCAAGAGAATGTTGGGTGACGGCGAGGCTATCATAACTATCAGCAGTGCATGGGTGTTCTTCTCCAAACAGACTTTTAAGGCGGATGTCAAGTGCATGCTGTTTAGAATCTAGTGCTGATTTATAGTCGCCAAAAGAATGTTGAGTGACTCCAAGGTTGTGGTAACTTTCAGCAGTTTCTACGTGTTTTTCTCCAAACAGTGCAAGGCAGATGTCAAGTGCGCGTTGCTGAGAATCTAATGCTAATTTATAGTTACCAAGGGAATGTTGAGTGACGCCAAGACAATAATAACTGTCAGCAGTGCTTGCGTGTTCCTCTCCAAACAATTTAAGTCTAATGTTAAGTGAGCGCTGTATAGAATTTAAAGAGGACTTATAATCACCAAGTGAATGTTGAGTGCCGCCAAGACGACAATAACTCTCAGCTGTGCTTGCGTGTATTTCTCCATGCAGTTTATGTCGAATGTGAAGTGCGTGCTGATGAGAAACAAATGCTGATTTATAGTCACCGAGGGAAAACTGAGTGACGCCAAGACAATAATAACTGTCAGCAGTGTTTTCGTGTTCTTCTCCAAATAATTTCAGTTTGATGTCAAGTGAGCGCTGTATAGAATTTAATGCTGATTTATAATCACCAAGTGAAAGATGAATGGACCCAAGAGTATCCCAGCCATTAACAGTGCTTGCGTGTTCTTCTCCAAACAGTTTAAGGAAGACGTCAAGTGCACGCTGTTGAGAATCTAGGGCTGCGTTGAAATCTCCAAGTGAAACTTGAATGGCGGAAAGGTTTTCATAATTATTAGCAGTGCATGCGTGTTCTTCTCCAAACAGTTTACGGTAGATGTCAAGTGCATGCTGAAAAGAATCTACAGCTGCGTTGAAGTCTCCAAGTGTATGTTGAGTGGTGCCAAGGCTATGATAACTATCAGCAGTGTATGCGTGTTCTTCTCCAAACAGTTTACGGTAGATGTCAAGTGTATGCTGAAAAGAATCTAGTGCTGCGTTGAAGTCTCCAAGTGAATGTTGAGTGGTGCCAAGGCTATAATAACTATCAGCAGTGTATGCGTGTTCTTCTCCAAACAGTTTCAGGCGGATGTCAAGTGCATGCTGCTTAGAATCTAATGCTGATGTATATTCCCCAAGGGAATGTTGGGTCACGCCAAGGCTACCATAACTGTTAGCTGTCCTTGCGTGTTCTTTTCCAAACCGTTCAATGCGGATGTCGAGTGTGCGCTTTTTAGATTTTAATGTTGATTTACAGTCACCACTGGAATGATGGGTGACGCCTAACTTAAGAGACCTATCAGCAGTGTTTGTGTGATGCTCTCGATCTCGCAATAGCTCCATTGATATATCAAGTGCTCGTTGTTGTGAGTTCAGAGCCTCGGAATAAAATTTTTTCCGGTAGAGAACCCTTCCAAGATTCTCGTAGCACTTTGCAAGCGCCTCTTTGTGTACACGATAAGAGGCCGATTTTTCACAACACCTTTCGAGAGCTTTTTGATGAAAACTGATTCTCTCCTCATTTTGTACTGTGGTGTCTTCGTTTAATTCTAAAACGGAAACAACATTGCTATAAACACTAAAGAGACCAGTAGAAACTCGCTTGTCCCCTTCGATCTCCTTCAGCATTTGATGCAAAGTACTTCTTAAATGTTTATTGGTGTCAATATCTATGAAATTCTCTGTTGCCACGCTAACAATGAAAAGTATTTGCAGTTTTAAAGGGTGGTCAGAATGATTGTCAGAGTCTCGTTGATTTTCTTCTGCATTGCTGGTGTCACTTCCTATAAAATTGGTTGAGGGTATCACAAGTAATTCCGTGTCTTTCGCGTACTTGCACTCCATTTGTGCATCGCAAAGTGATTGCTTTAAATCCGACAGATTGTCTTGAAATTTGAAAAAAATTGCAAGAATTTGTAAAGCAGCAAGCTTAAGAATAGTCTCATCTAGGCTTCCATGCATCAACTGAAGAGCTTTTCGCAAATGCTGAACTCCATCTTCAGTTTTTCCTCTAGCAAGGTGGTTCAAGGCTAAATAACAGAGACGTTTTCCTTGTAAGTCTGCCATGGAATCTGAAGAAAGTGAAGCCTCAGAAAGCAGCTGTACTGTACTTCCACCTGCGCCCCAACATGCCTCTCCGAATGCCTTGGAAACAAGCAATTGCTGGTAAGACTCATTTGCCTCTAGTTTCTTTGCAGCCTTAAGTGCTGAATCGTAAATAAAATTAAAGCTTGATGCGTCTGAGAAATAAAGGCTAGCAAGAAACAGCTCTCCATGTACTAACACATCAATAACAGTGCTAGCTGTTCTGGGATCCGATAGAGCCTCAAGTAGGCTTTGAATAATAATTAGCTCATCTTCATAAAACGTAAGAAACGATGTCATTGAATGACCAGTGAGATATTCCACATTCAGCTTTTCAAAAAGGGAAACGTAAAACGTGTTTAAGCGGTACTTTGATTTACGAATCGTGTCGTTCATCATTTCATTTTCCCCTTTTTCTCTAGCAAATGATTGGAGTAGCTTATGCATCGTGAATAACTCCTTTTTCACTCCTGAATCAAGAAGCGACTTTCTTTGAAGTGTCTGCAGTAGCTTTTTTGACTGGAGATTGTTTACATCTAAAACGGCTGCAGCGACCTCACTACCGAAATTCTCAGGAAGAATACTCAACGACACTAACGCTTCTTTTTCTTGTGCATTTAGCCTCTTGAAAGATAACTCAAAAAAGGATTGCAGTCTGTACTCGTCTGGGTAATCTGGTCGATCTAACATCTCAGCGATACTTGTTGTAGAGGCGGACTTCATGAATTGATCGAGATATTGGCTCGGTTGAGCGTTATCTTCAGAAATTGAGGAACACATTAATTTTATTGCAAAGGGTACAAGTCCGCAGATTTGCAGGATTCGATTACAGTCTGAAGACTTTGCAGCTGGAAGAACGGCTTTTACCAATCTCGTAGCAGAGACTTCATCCAGTGGTCTTATCCTTACACTCTGGTGACCGTGCAAATCTACATTCAGAAAATCTAGAGACTCTCTCGTTGTTACAAAAAATGTGATCGCCTTACTTCGCCTGAGAATTTCTTTCAAAAGTCCTATGACCTCTTTCTTCACTCCTGGCTCACCATCTTCTAATAAATCATCAGCATTATCCAGAATAAAAACAGATTGATCGGAAATTACGCTTAAAAGTAGACAAAGCTGGTCATCAAGAGATAACTGCGAAAAGGACGGCTGATCATTCAAGAAAGATGGCGTGACAAAGCTTAGAAGCTTTGAAGTCAGATCTGCTTTTGACTTCAGTCCACGTAGCGACACCCAACAGACCGGTAGTCCTTGAGATCGGAGATAATGTCCCACTGCAATTGCAACCGATGTTTTTCCAAATCCAGGTGAACCCCAGATCGAAACCAGTCGGGTAGATTCAGACTTCACGTGACCCATAATCTCCTCACAATCGCTTTGACGTCCAGTAAAATTAGGAACCATTCCAGGAAGGGAAGGTATTGATAGCGATGGTCTCACACCTGTTAAAATAATAACATATGGTTTCCTACCTTTGAAGACTAAAGTAAAACATAAGCAAATAAATTTTCCGATCCTTTTCCCAGCTAGTCACTTTTATTCCAAAAGCAAATCGCTTAAAATGTTAAGCTTAGGGAACTGGAGTTTAATTTCTTGGTAGCAAGTTTAGAAAGAGAAGGGAAAACTGGTTGCCGTGTATTTACGTCCTCAATAAAAATAGAAAAACATGTACCAAAGAGTGCGATGCAGTGTAGAATTTTTCCTTTTTGTTTTAACACTTAATAATGGTCCAGTCAAGACTATGTTAGCTTATATTTAGGCATCTGATTGAAACTGTTTCCTGTCGTCTATATATTGCAACGGATGGCAAGGATGGACATGGACTGAAACTTGAAAAAGTTGGGCCAACCTTTTCAAGTTTTATGCTACGCCTGCAAACTGACCACAATTTGTTTGATTTCTTCTTCTTAAGTAATGAATAGCATTTTGTGTGCAGGTAAAGGTTCTAAGTAACGACTTCAGCGCAGAATTGACCTAAAACTGTAATATCCTCTTGACCCCTAGCCCCTTTAACATAAAAGACGTTACCTGTAGTCTGCAGTTTAGTATCAGGTTCATCTTGCACTATACTAAGCAGCCTGGCCATCTTCTGCTCGAGCATGGCGATGTCTTCTTTGTTAGCAGTACTCTCAACAAAAGCGTTTAACAACGCCTTAATCTCGATGACATCTGAACTCATTTCCTCAAGGAACAAGATGTATTCCCGAGTCTCTTCTTTTATACTCTTTTCCAATTTACGAACTTCATTTGTAGGAAAGTCGGACTCCGTCAAACTACCAAGTACGTCAATTGAGCCTGTCGGGACACCAAGGGCTTGAAACGCGTCTTTCGAGTAATTCACGCGTTGGTCAAATGTCGCTTTGTCCATTTCACTACTGGTGGAGTGACAGAGCGAATTTCTAAGAAGACGAAGCTGATTAATCGCAAGTGCAAAAGTCTCCCATTTATTTCCACCCGGACTGACCACACATGCGTGGAAACTACCATAAGGTACTGAACAGGGCTTCACGTACAAATCACTGAGAGTGATGAAGGAGCCTGTACTAGCTGGTGAGGCAAAGGACCGCGCAAATATAGTAGCCTGAAACAGGTTGGTACAATCCCATTCGTTGTAGGACAGGAGAACAGGAACTTTAGTCTTCTTGCCACTTTTTTTTTCTTCAGAGTCGAACATTTTTCTGACAGCAGTGGAATCGTCCCAGAGTTGGAAACCAGGGTAATGTCCATAGGTGTTGTCCCACATGGTTTTAAATGTAGTCCGTAAGGCTTTAGGGAATTCATTTAACACCAAGGAAGCAAACTTAAAGAAATTTAATTGTTCATCCCTAAACGGCTGCAATGCCATCTCGAGAGTCAATATTGGCCTGGAAAGATGCGAAATGTTCTAAAAAACATAAAGAAAGAGTTGCTATGTCAATATGATAACCGTTATTATTGTGTTTAAAATATGATCCACTAACTACTAATCGTTCTTCGAAGGTAAAATCATATCAGGCAGTATAGTAATTTATCCTCTCTGCATATCTATTGTCGCATCGAAGCAAACTAAGTTATGGGACAAATCCGCGACTGCCTTGACAAAGATATGCAGCAAGGCTTGGTATGTGGTCACCGCCACAAGGGGAGGTAGGAGGGGCGAAAAGCGCTTCCAGTATGCAATCGCGTGCAAACTGCGAGATTTCACACTGCGAAGACCAAAATTTAAGTTAGAAGGCACGCAAAGGATCATAATTGACCCTAATTGCAAAGAACTTTTTCAAACCCGTACCATTGAGCCGAGTTCGTAACTGGTCAGGCGACCAAAATATGATTTTTAAAATTATGAAGTACCTCTTTCTGAACACAAATTTTGTACTTTAACTTCAAGGAAAATGCTGAAAAGATGATGTAGTAACGTTTACAGCACAACTGATCGGAAGCAAAAAGTAGTTTAGCCGCCATGTTGGATGGCAAGAGTAAGCCATCCAACATGGCGGCTACACTCAAATCCCGTTAACAGCACGGACACTTGAGGGACCACAGAAAGTGTCCGTATTAATAGGGTGTCCTTATTAAGCGGGTCATGTTATTAAAGCCAAAAAACACCTTTAATTAGAACAAAAAAGTCTAAAGAAATAAAAGAAGACTTAAACATCGTCAAATCAAACATATCTAACCTTCACGAAGCCGTCATTCCGCGGACTAAATCGAGGAAAGACTCCAAAATCGCTCATCTGGCTATACATTACTTAATCAAAACCGTGCGTTTTCTACATAACTCGTTTGATGCCATAATTCTTTGAAATTGACGTCTACACTTTGATCATCCTATCCGCGCTGGGAATATATGGAAATGCTGTCAAATGAAGGGTTTTTACTTTCAGAAAGGAAAGATCTGTTACAGCACATAGTTCATGATGAAGTGTCCGCATTAACGAGGTTGACTTTGTCCGCATTAATTAACAGGTGTCCGTATTACGCGGGTTGAATTTAGATAAAATGTATGCCGGGCTTTTCCCAGGGACAAATGAAACTGTCCGTAATAACGAGGTGTCCGTAAAGCGGGGTTGGACTGTACTTCGTTGAAAAATCAAAGTGCCGTAAAATATCTGCCTTAAATGTGTTTCCTCTCAAAATGGGCAACCTATAGACTTTCAAAAAAGTCCTTCGTCCGATTTAATATGGCGCGGGACGACTTGAGCTGTGAGGGATCGTGAGGTCGACTTGTAGAAGTCTAGGCAACCTCGTTCTTAGGGCTTTTCCCTTAAGAACATGCAAATTTGGGGTGTAAGATAATTTTTATGCGCTGTGTCAATATTTGGCATCAGCAAGATTCCAGCTCATTGTTTAAAGGAAGCATTGATCACGCGACTCTCAATGCAAGTGGCCTAACCCTTTTAAACGCCTGCCACACACAGGTTGTCTTGAAATCTCGCTAAAAATGGCGCTCACGACAACCTTGCGTGACAGTTTGTTGAACAGTGATCACGCGATCGTCCGCAAACTGTCGCATATAAAAGCCTCCAGATTGACTTGTGCATGATTCCGTGGGATGCCTGTGGCACTCCCACGGTAAAAATCCGGTTCGGTTGTACCCAAAATTGCAAAGCTAGCCAATAGGATTGCGTAAAATCTTTATCGATTATCTCTTCTTCCAAGCCGACCAATCAGATTGTACAAAATCTGTATCGATTTTTAATCGATTTGCTTCCTCTGAAGAACGTATCAGAACGTTCCTTGCCAAAGTTTTCCCACTCGTGGTTTAGGATGGTTTGTTCACCAGCGAAATCCTTCGGGATACTGGCAAGTAAAGAAAGGCGACCTAAGCCAAATTATTTCTTCCCTTCATGATTCTTTTTTGTTTAGGTCTAGCTTTTTCATAAGGTTTAAGTAGCGTCTGGTTGCGGGCCGTGATTTCCGATAGATTTTTCTATTCGGAGTTCGCCAGTTTTTGCCGAGCAAAGCTAGAGTTCAGTTTTTTTCTTTTCTTATCGAAAACACCTTGACGATGGGAGGTTAAATCGCGTAAATTTCAACTCGTACCCTTGACGATTGGCGGTGAAATCGCGAAAATATCGTCCTTGTCGATCGACCACTCGCTTTCGGCATGGATTGGACTTCTGGATGGGACACGGATCAGGACCTTAGTAAACTTGTTATACCTTGGAATCAGGGATAATCATTGGGGGAACTATGTTAACTTTGAGACCTTGGAAACACATTGCAATTAATTTTTAACCGTTTCAAGAGCATCTTGGAATATTAAACTTTCATCTTGGATTAAAACATTGGAACTTTATCGAACTTTGTAACCCTGGGTTCGACCCACGATAAAGCAAGCGGATGTTTTGTTTTGTTTTGTTTTGTTCCATTAACCAAAAACTACAATGTTTATTTCTCTTTGAAAAAGTTACCTTTGGCAACTTACTACCAAGATATGACGTATCTTTATACATATAGTTCCTGTTCAGGTTAATCAGAGAGCATTATGCGCATGTTCTGCATTACTTGTTTCCGTTAACATTCCAATTTAAGTTACACGGGTAAACCTTGTTTTGATGCAAAATAACTTCTTTTTCTTATCCAAATCGTGCCACGAAAATAACTACATAGCGATGGATCAAAACAAGATCAACTCCATCCTTGCGACCACTGTCGAAAGGGGTAGGGGATAGTGAGGAAGCAAAAAGGGGATGTGGATTGGGGGAAAATAGTAGCCTGCCACGCAGGCTACTATAAATTCAGTCATAAGCACATTAAACCAACCCATACAGGTAACCTACTCATCGATGCTCATAACATGAAATATCTTTCCGGTTTCCTAATTTTTCCAAATGCAGACAGAACGCCATTATGCTTCCATAGACCAACGCATCCCACGGAAACGACTTTAGGCGTCTTGTTAAATGATAAAACAAGTTAAAAGAATTCAAAAGCTTTTTTCGTAGCTTTGAACCAATTCCGAGCATTTTCCTTAAAGTTTAGCAGGCAGAAATGACCGGGGCAAAATGATCACCACCAAATTCACCTGTCAACATGAGAGGGGTTTATTGAGCAAAGCATTAGGAATCGATGACATCTCTTTTATATTCCTCTCCTTACTAATAACTAAATTAGGTCCACAATGGAATTGAGTATAGTGAGTTTCAAATCACACCCGGGAAGTCTAATACTATGTCACCGGTACCGAAAGAGGGGCAAATCTTATTCATACCGATGCTTAATATGACAAAATATAAAACCGATATGAGGCACGACCCTGGAAATCCTGGAAATCACTAGTAATCACACCAAACAAAATCGAAATAAATTTCCATCGAATTCAATCGACTGTCAGTTGAACCTGATTGAAACCTTTCGAGCGATTGAGTTCGAAAATCGACATTGCATTTTGTCGGCCTCGAAATTTTTTGCGACTTCTCATTCTTTGGTTCAATTGCCGAACTGTATCAAACTCTTTCGTTCGAAAGAGATCGATTGAGTTCGAAAACCGAACGTTCGATGTGATACGCCGGGGTAATGGTTAGAACATGTGAGCCTTTGTATTCAAGTATTTCCGACGAATCGAGAAAGAAAACGTGGCAAAAAGTGTGTTGCACTGTGATCACTAAAAATACTCACTGGGCGTCGTCTAATGTCAATTTTAATGGCGTATCATACAAAAACACTTCATGCAAGGAAACAATTGGACGTATATTTACGTAACATTGTGTAAAAGTACTGTGCAATAAATTGTCTCTCAAATCTTCTTCAGTATACCGCATTTCTGTGACTTTAAGTCCACAACAAAATATCTCATTCCTTCATTTAATAGTTGTTACGTTCAATGTGCAGTTATAACGTAAATGTTACTAATTTAAAGTAGCACAAAATTACATATAGCTTAGTTACCGTTCAAGGATGGGAGCTTTATAATACAGCTAAAATTAACAAAGAAAGATAACGTAGAGCTGAGCTGCTAGCGGCTTCTTAATAGAGGTGGCCGCCTAATAAAGGAAACAAATATAGCGTTTGTATGAGCGAAAAATCGGGACTTCGAAAACTGGCCGCTTAATACAGGGCCGTTACATACAGGTTCCATTGTAGGAAAGAAACAAAACTTCAAATCGCCTTGGATTTTTCAACGCTTGATCAACTGGACGATTTTGTTCCACTCGTGTTTTTCTGTAAAGAGTTCCACTTCGTTCGATGGCCAAACTCAATCGAACTCGTTCGAATATAAAACATTCTAACCTGGTCCCAGAAGTTTTTCTTGAAACATTCAGACTAAACATCGTTGATTTTTTTCAAATTCGAATACTTTTTGTTAGTTCGATTTGGTTCAATGGCGGCGTGAGTGTATCGAACTCATGTCTCATGTCGTTCGAGATGGTTCGAAAACCGAACGTTCGATGTGATACACCCGGGTAATGGTTCATAGAACATGCAACAAGGTTCATAATAAATTTCAAGATCACTAGAACTGCTGTGCACTCGAATTCTTCTACACTCTCCATTATTTCCTAGACAACTGAATCGAGTCAGTTAAGTCAGTCTACGCAATCCAATGTTATAATCCAATTTTTTATTCAGCTTTTCTATATTAATAGCTTTTGTATGCTTCAATTCTATCCACGAATAACATATTATTTTTAGAGACATTTCCTGAGTTGCTTTAGTTGGATGCACTCGGCAAGTCTCTTTCGCTCTCGTGTAAAATGCAACTTTATTGCTGAGTGTGGGCAGCTTACATGAATACTTATACTTAAAGCTAAAAATATAACCTACCTTCACGAAATTTATAGAGACAAGTGAAAACGTCAATGAGCTGATCAATCCCACGGTTTTTAGATTGTCTTCATTGTTGAGTATAGGATGAAAAGCCCCAAAGAATAGCGGTTTGTTATGACAGTCCTTGGTAAC